TTCTGTATTGTATGGATGTTTAGCTTACAAACAATAATAAATAATTTTGCAGTGTTGTTGGTTGTAGCCATGTTGGTGTAAGGCAGGCAAGGTTCTTAGGTAGATGTGGTATCTGTTATTAGACCAACTAAATAGTTGGAAAAGATGTTCTTTGCAAGCTTCCAGGCACAAATGCCCTTCTTCAGGCATAGGGAGATTCTGCTGGTGTTATGTGTTCTCCAAGGTCTAAAAGAAGCTAATTTACAACATGCAGGTCTGTGAAAATGCAAATGAGTGGTAGTTTGCAAGATGATAAGTAGAGATAGGAGGGGAGGGGCAGGGAGGGAGGGAAATGTGTGAAGGCGTCTAAATGGTCAGCTGCAGGCAGGTTACCTGGGGTTATCAGATGATAGGCAGGTTGTAATGTGTCATAAATTCAATGTCTATATTTTTTGTCCATAATGTTTTGTATCCAGTAGATTTATGAACTTAAGTTTGTAGGCTCATCTATGAAAGGTGCTTTGTAAATTCCCTTTGAGGATTAGAACTGAGAGATAGGAGAGGGAGTGATTGTCTTGTGAAAAGTGGGTACCCACAGGTAATTGCATACAAGTTTCCCTTGCTTTATGCTGTACATGCTTTCCTGGAAAATGGTGTACAACTCAAATTCACATAAAGGGAACCCACTTTACAATGTAACAAATAGGGATACGTTCCAAGACCTCAACTGTACAGACCCCCACACCCACTTCTTTTCTACTTTGGTGAACGTAACACCAGCAGAGTCTCCCTATATCTGAAGAAGGGCATTTATGCCCAAAAGCTTGCAAAGAACATTGCGTGCCATAATTAATACTTTTCACTTTTATAGCCTTCATATCAGAGTTTCTCTTGAAATACTGCACAGCTGTTTATTAGTTAAGCTTCACAACATCCTGTGAGGTCAGCAAAGGATACACAAGTACCACAGAAATATACACAAGCCTATTAAAATTCATTATTTATCAACCATTGCTACACAGTCCTCTCACAACTATCACAGATATTCTCTTGCCTGGGTAAAAGCAGTACCCTCAGATACTTCTCTATGATAATATTTTGCAAATTATGATTTTCTTTAAATAGTGGTGCCTACTCTGGATATGATAAATGCTTCTCTTGTGGTACCTTTTAGATCTTTATTGCCAGTGCAAAACTGACACTTTGTAGAATGTTATAGTACGAATCAACAATGAAAGAGTTCAACAAAGTGATGTGTACCCTTTAGATATACATTTTGGAGAAAAAGAATATTTCTGCCATCAAAAGGAACTGATCTGTCCTACCCCATAGCTATGCTTGCAAAATATGTGAAAGTTGCTCTCTTCTTAATTCCCAAGTCATTTTTTTTCTTCATTATAAAACCAACATTTCTCTTCAATGTGCTTATAAACATAAGAGAATTTCCTACAAGGCAAAAAGGAAGACAACACTGGCCTAAATTCTGATACCCATCATCTATCCTGAATAATGCTTATTCTTCAGATAATCCCACTGAAGTTAGGGCCCTACTCAAATGAGTGAGGGGATCAGAGTTATCCCACACAAACATTTGAATTATACAAGAATGCTGTATTTTTTAAACAATATTTCCATTCTGCAGAATAGATGTTAACGACATGCAATGTAATCAAGCAGAATGATGTCTGTTCTCATACCAGCATCTTAAGTACTAAATTGAAGTATGGGAAAAAGGATTCATTTTCTTTTGACTACATAAAAACCCTGTAGTAGACACATGTTGATTAAACACCTTATTAAGAAAGAACATTTACTGTGTGCCTGCCTGTATTTACAATCTGCCTTCTGCCAGTCTGATTTCTCAAAGGTGGATACCTTCTCATCCTCGGCTGAAATTACTGCACTAAGTTAATTATGTCCAAATTCTCAACTGACAAATAAAGAAAGGAAAAGTTGGATCTATAAGATCACCAAAATATATCAGGTTTTTTTTTCAGAATGAGGAAAAATAAATGTTGACCCTCAAAAGTTAAATTATTGGCAAAAAAATTGCAGTCAGTTATATTATGGCACTTTCTGATAGAACCAGAATACAACATCAAATATTTTGAGCTTTATCTATGATTGGTGTTATTTGACCCTGTATGAACTGACGGCCCCTCCATACTTCATATTTATACTGTGATTAGCATGTTAATCACACCATAAATGACAAGAATGATACATGCACACCTAATTTATAGTCCATAAAATGGCAAGCTAGCCATAAAAATGTTCCACATATAATGTAGAACATTGTTATGGATGTTTAGTATGGCACCTTAAATTGAATGCATGGCATGTTCACACTCTGAGGTTGTCCAGACAAGATATCCAACAGTCAGCTGAGAGTCATCAGTTGAAATGAGACCTGGACAGCCCTAGTCTCCAACTGCCTGTTGACAACATTGCCAGGACTGGCCTGGCCAGACCTGGTCTGCAACTGACCCCAATTCTCCAAAAAAGCCTCAACTTGCCTTGGGAGCCCATGGTAATGACCCTGGATTGCCCTGGACTGGCAGCTGTCAAGGGCAAATCCCTGATCCCCAAATTGTGCCTCCCATTATGTATGTGTGACTTGGCAGGAGGCACAATTGTTGAAATCAGGGATCATATCCCATTGCACCATTAAATTAATTTGTGCCAGGGACTCAAGTGTCAGCTTGTAAGCAGAGCAAAAATCTGTTTCATCACAAATCATGAGTGAAGATAAGAGATTAAATCTGTAATATTTGATCAGTAGAATAGTCTAACCTTGGTCTACTAAGTATTGCTGTTGGAAAAAAGGTGGAGCAAGAATATAGGAGTGCTTCTTGATGTCAAAAGAAAGCCCTCTGTGAGATATAATCATATATTCAAAACTTTATAAATTCAGAATACTAATAAAGAACAGTGTCCAGATTACTGGCAGGACCAGACCTTAACAGGGCAAAGCAATGGATTAATTATAGGAAATAATGAATATTTTATGCCTGTGATGCTCCCAGCTTGGTTCAATAGACTACCCACTGCAGGTACACTCTCACCACAATTCAGCAAGGTTTGTTAGCACACATCTAACTTTAAGATCATAACAGATTATAACCGAGTTCATGCAGAGTTGATTGGGAACCACAATTTGCATTTTATAGGAAATTCTTCTATTTTAAAATTTGTTGGGTTTTTTTCAAATCAAAATAAAACTGAAGGCTTCCTAAATCTCCTGTGAAATGAAAATTACACAAAAAGCTTGGTATAGCATCAGCTGAAAGAATCAAAGCAAATATCATCTCAATCAAATCAAATTTTCCTTTTAATTTTGACGTAAAAAAAAAGATAAATAAAAGCCTCTTGTAAATAATAATAAATACATTCCCATGGGAAAAGTTGGATTTGATGAAGTGGTATTTTCTGGTGTTCACTCAGAACATTTTTAGTCAGCTTTGCTCATGTGTTTAAAGTTGGAGATGTCCTTGAATACTTTCTCAGCGTTTCCCTTGTTCTGTAAATGGACGTAACCCAGAAAAGCTTTAACTTGCACAACTGCCTTTTCAGAACATTTTTTGATTGCTTTGCAGTTTCAAGAAGCTTGTTTTGATCATTCCCAAATGTGTTCTGTTTCCTCATTCCCTTTCCATTGCCATCAGTAGCATATAATGGTGGAAGGTCACACAATGTATATGTGTCTTTGCATAATTTTGGCATTCACTGTTGGGAATGCAATGATAAATGCTCAATCTCATATGGCCTATTTATAAAGCAATAGACAAAAGTACTCAAATTAAATAGTTTAGCAGTTTCTCTGTAACAGACGATGAGGCATTGCCTGATCCAAAATCCATTTAAGCTTTGGATCAAACCTTTAGTGTTCTAAAAACTGACAAATCTGGCAAATCCAAATTATCTCTGAAACTTCTCCTATGAAGGTTTCCTGTGAAGGACAGAAATTTAAAAAATATTTAAGTGACTTTGGAATCAAAGGCTAATCTTCCAAAGTGGTGTAGGCACTTATAAACTTAGGGGCTTGACTATGAAGGGCACATGTGCATGAGACTTACTGCAGAGCTGCCTAATTAGCTATGCATTAAAGTCTCAGTGCCTACACATGCAACCCTATTAGGCCTCAGTAAACTAATTAACTCCACCGTAGGCTAGTACTTGTAAGCAGAAGTACTATTCTATGGTGGCATTCTTTAGTGTGCAGCAACACACATGTAGATGCTGATAGGTCTGGCTGGGGCAAGAGGGTGCCTGCCAGCTAGCTCCACACTGGGGCACCCTCATGCCCCAGCCAGCCATTCTGCAATAAGTTGAGCTGGGTCAGGCTGCTCCAACCCAGCTCAATGAACCATGGTCCAGGGCACTCATGTAAATGCAACTCCCAGGAGCAATTTACTCTGGAGTGATATACACCCTAGTTTATTGCTCCATGCTAATAGCATCTGTTCATGCACCCACAGGGACTTTGTCATGCACCAAACTAGGGTATTAATTTATCATACTGTTAATTCAGAATCTACCTTACAATATTGTAAGTTTTGTATGTAGACAAGTTCTATTTCTCATTGACATTCACTAACGCTTAGGTTTCGTGATGTCCAAACCACTTTGAAAACAGGAATTAGACTAAGACATTTGAAAATGCTTCCTGTCATGTTTTCAATTTATTGTGCCTAGCATGTAAAAAGAAATATTCAGTACAATCTCTTTTATAAGAACCTCCCATGGGAAAAGTTAATTAAAAGAGAGGATTCACTGTAATAGGGTTAGTCAATTTGCTACATCACAATAATGAAAAAAAAATGGGTGCCTCTCGTTGGGATAGTAAAATGAAGGGTTGTCAATAAACAGGATTTATTATATAATGAGGTTGTACTGGATATAAAAATGTACATATTGGGCACCATTTTTTTTTCTGAGTCACAACTTTTCATTATTCTATTTAAGTTCTTGTTGAATGCTGGTCAGCAGTAAAATGAAATGCTCAAAATGCTCTTCCATACCTGATTGTGGACTTTGTTTTGAGATTTTGGCTGCTGCTTCAGGGCTGGAAGTGGAGCGCACACGCTGATTGGCAGAGTTATGGTTGCTACTTGGAACAGCTGCTGAGATGTTCTTGCGAGGTTTCATATCTTGCAACCACATTGGGGATGCTTCAAAGGCCTGCATTCGCCGAGAGTGGCTATTCGCATTGACTTTGAGAAATGCCTGAGCCTTGTATTCCTGAAGGTCTCCATAGTTGGCATCTGTCACCCTGCACTCATACAAGCCTTCATCCTTTTTCCTCACTTTTGAAATCTGCAGCTTGTGGGAGATGTCATTCCCTTGTACTTTCACTGTCTGCAAATTTTCCAGGAAAAAGGAAAAACACTACATTAGACATTATCATTCCAACATTCTTTCTCTAGACAGAATATCCTGAGACACCGAGTGTGACTATTCTAAAAGACTGCATGCCAAATTAATCAGGAGCAAAACTAGCTAATTTCAGGAAAGTTCCACTGGGGGTAAATATAGTTCCTTATATTCATATAGAAGATTAGTGCCTTATTTCCAAAACTGTTTTGTATGATGTGTTCTGAGTGTTAATTGGTTTCAGACAAACAACCTGAACTTTCACATTCTTTTTAATTAATTCTTCAAGATCATGAACATTGTTAATGAGCTTTCTTACATAAACCTGATATCGCTGAATTTTGTTGGTTAAATCTTTCCAATTACATGACTTTATTGAATCATTCAACTCTTGAGCTAGTTCGTTAACAATCTTGTTGGAGAAGTTTGCCAATATTTAAGCTTCTTTAACAATTTATTAGATTATCTTGTACTCTTCACTGTGTTAAAAATTATCACTGCACATAGAATTTCTCCACATCAGACTTGTCCAAAGCCTTGTTGCTTTTCAGCTGTATTTATGAGGCCACCAAGATACGTAGCTATTTAAAAAAAAAAATCTATTATATACAAAAGCATACATATATTAAAAGAATGTGACATTTTGGTGATTTGACAATACATAACACAGAGTATGTATTGTTTTGTTAGAAAGATTTAGTTAATACAAAACCATTCAATGCAGTCTTTGATATCCTAATGCAATATAACATATTTTTCATCTTGTATAATTAATTTCAAAACACAAAACATGCATTTTTGAATATGGAACAAGACATTGCAATTTACTCAAAAGTCAAAGGTACCAAGAGATACAGGAAAAAGTAGCAGAGTCCTTTCTTTGTATACCTTGTTCCTTTGAGTCATTTATATTTAATTAATAGGCTATTATTTTATGGTTGTGATTGATAGCTGACCACGGTTTTTATAGATGTGGCCCCACAAAAAAACGAGCTGAAGGGATCATCAGAACTGACAAATATGATATTGAGAGAGCCCTGCAGTCTGCCTTGGTTTTGCCACTAATATCCATTATATAAATTCAGCTGCAAATGTAGCTTTATTCCATACAGTAGCAAAAGGATGAAGATGGCAAGCAGCAGGGAAACATTAGGATAATGAAGATGTGACAGATCATAGAGAAAGTTAGATTGCAACCAGGCATATGCTATTTATGATTATTCAACATATTGTGCCTAATAGCTTAGCATATTGTCATCCCCAGTATTGGCAACAGACTTATTCTGCCTAATATACTACATGAAGGACAATACTTATGGATCACACTATGAAATGAGATGAACTTACAACAAAAAAATTATAGTTTCCCTCTTTGTAGATCAAGTATGTTGTTTGATAAATTATACCTAAAAAACAGATGAGGAGTTTCAAGTATAATATTATATACACAAGAGGTGCGGGCTGATTATTTATTTCAACCTTATTAAATAGTAATAATAAAATATCTATTTTAATCAGGTCAAAATGAAAAATAGTTTCAAAGAAATATGAAACTCAATATAATCTTAAATCAGACATACAGACCAAATTCTACCTTCAATTATAAGCAAAATCATTGGCACTTCAGAGGAGGAACTGAGAATTTACTTTTTGCTTCCATTTGAAAAGTAGAAATGGTATTAAGATAAGGTTGTTTCATTTTATATGTTTTCTTGTTCCAAATTACAAAAAAATTATGTGTTTCTGCATAAATATGGTGTATTTCCAGATGAGCCCAATACCTCACACAATGCCATCTTTTTGTAGGAATTTGCCAAGTGTCCTTAAAACTGTATTCTTCCTATGATATAGATAGATTTCATTAACATTAATGGGATTTCTACATATGCATTCAAGAAAAAATAACCTCTTTTTATAGCAAGAATATTTAGAAGACCAATTTGATATATACATTTTAAAGCAAGTAAATATATTTTACTTAAACTTATAAAAAAAATTTGACTGCATGCCATCAGTGCAGTATTTGATAATATCGGCACACAAAATGAGATGAACATTATTAACCTGAAGATAGCTAGGATTTTAAACAATTCAAGATGGGCCATAATCTACAATTTTTATGAAATCAAAATTCCTATGGCCTTCAAAGGGAATTGTGAATAAGCAGATACTGAGAAAGAAGTAAATTAATCAGTAGTTCCCCCCAAAAAGGCCAAATCACGATCTGGGTCTTATTAAGCCAGGCACTGTACAAAAACTGTTAAAGACATGGACCACGTTATAAGAGGTTTACAGTGTAAGGTTTATAGGAACACAGAAAGGGTGAGAAAAAGGACTATGGTCAAAACATATGCAGTTATTAATGTGAAATGAACAAATGCATGCTGCAACCAAACTTTAATTAGTGCTATGCATCCAAGAATGGAATACAGGATTGAATCTTAAATGATTTGCCGATATTGCAGTTGATATTCCTGCTGTTGATTTAGGGTGAAATTATGCCTTTGGTTTCCCATCTAAAATGAACAATGCTTCCAGAACTTGTGGGAATCCTTATCCCCACTGCTTTGACTGGTAAGGAGAGGGACATACACAGTTACCCACTGCCTCCTCAAATTCCCTGGGGGACTCTGACAGAACAGTCCCTTCACCTCTCTGAGCACAGAACCTACTGATCTAGCATTCCAGAAAGGTGTGCAAAGGAAAGGAAATGGACCCACATCTTCCTTTCTTCTGCATACCCCTTTTCCTACACTGTCTGACTTGTAATTCAGACAGATTAGCTAATTATTAAATCTAGCCTTATCGACTCTGACCCTGCAGGTCTCACTCAGGAGAAACACCCAGTGAAGTCACTAGGGCTTTGCCCAAATAACAGCTGCATTATGGCGCTTGTACTGGATGAAACCTTTTCACAGTCACAGTAATATCTGTTTCCCACCAGCTAGAAGTATTTTTTTTTAAATCACCTGTGTAAATAGCCATATACTAAGCAGAAGGGAAATGCCAACTTGAAAGAAATTTCAGAATTTAATTCTAATTTAGAATTCTGGAGCCGTATCATTCCCTCCCTTGGTACATCCAAAGGGAAGATAAACTGTTCTGGCTGAGCAGAACCAAGTTAGTCTACCTTCATGAGAGTTCTCTTTGCTGGGAAGAGGGGCTGAAGGGAGCAGCAGTTCTTCACTACTGAATGAGTCATGTACACTCACCCCTTGCAGAAATCCTGGGGAATCCCAAGGGAACCAGGACCAGCCCAAGGGAAAACCCTTACATGTCATCATCCCTATAACCCCTTCTTCAGTGTCTGGCATGATTACTCTGATGACACCGTACTATGGAGACCATGAAGAGACTCCATGAGCAAAATAATGCAGGGCAATTAGAATGATCATTCTTGCTGAATTCTACAGACAGGTACAAAGGGAACTCTGACTTCACCATTACCCAATGTGTGGCACACCACTCCCTGCCTTCAGTATACTCAGTACTGTCTCCTGGCAGATCCAAGCTCCATGGAAAACCCTCTTCAGTCTTGCAAACTGTGTGTGTGCACATGTGTGCAGAATATGGAAGGAGCAGTAATGTGGATGAAAGAAATCTGCCTTATTCACATTCACAGGCTTGAGAATATTCACACATATCTTGGGAACATGTTCTAGTCTTATATTTTGCTTTGGTTAAGGGTTTTTTAAACAATGCAATTTAATAAACTCATCAGATCTGTGTTGTTTCTGTGACCACAAGGTGCCAGTGAAGAAACCCCCCCCCCCACAAAACAAACAAACAAACAAACAAAGCTATGTTTACTAATTGAATTTTCTTGCTGATGTGCCCTTATAGTAACTGTCAGGAAAGCATCTCTGTCTACTCCCCTCTTACAGAGGAACTAGACTCAAGGCAAGAGGAGCCCAGGAACTCAACAGTATTGACAGTTAGTACACAGCCCACAGGTCTTGGATACATGCTAATTAATGATAAGTGAAAAACAGCTAAGTGCTAGCAATGATCTCTCATTTGCCATATACTTACGCTTATCTTTGTTCCATCATTGTCCAAGTCTCTCTCTGGTAAGAGCTCCACCTGTTGGGAAAGAATAACATTTGTGACAAGCTGCATGCAGTGCCAGGCTGCTGTGCCTTCTGCAAGCTAATCATTAAGGCAGAGCCGACAGGCAGCCTGTGTCTGAGAACACTTGCATGCTAAGTGTGCCACCTACGGGCCAAAACACATTCCTGTGTGCTGCAAAGGGCTGGCAGACTTGGAAAGAAAGAAAGAAAAAATAACTGAAGTGAACAATTCCAAATCAGTTTTCTGCTACAGCTCTCCCAGCAGCGAGCATGAAAGGGCTGGGGCTCACTGACACCACACACTCTCCTGGAAACCAGAACAGAGGGATATTGCCTTGGTTTAGGATGCAGCTCTGGACTGCTCTCCTGTGCTGTTTGGCTTCAGCGTGGATCCTGAGTTTACAGACCTTTGTGAATGAGAACAGAAGGGGGAAGAGCTTGTTGAGACAGGGCACAGATCCCTCACTCCTATCTCAGGGGAAACGCTGACAGCGAAGGCAGGCTTGATCCCACCTTGGAAAAGCTAAACCACGTAGGTTCCTGTGGGGTTGTCCTGAAATCCTGCATGGAATACATTTTTCATGCTATTCTGCACGGCATACGTGTTTTCATGCTATTTAAGATGATCAGGACTGGTGACTAGCAATCCAACGGAAGGGGCCCGGGGAGGTTCCTTAAAAGGAAGCGATCTGGTCAGTGCCCTGGGTGCTCGCCTTTGAAGACTACAGTCCTGCACCTTCCCTTGCAGGGCGTGTGCCCTCCCCGCCCCTCTTCCTGCAGCTGCACTCGGGCGGGAGTAGTCAGACCTGCACATTGCATTGCACTAATGAGGCACTGATCGCCGAGCTTTGCCATTGGGGAACTAAATCCCCGCGTGCAGCAGCCTTTTAACATGCGCTCTTAGAAATAGAGACCCGAGTTTTGGGCGATCCGTGTGGTCTCCCTCTGATCTGAAGGAGGTCCCGTGCCCTGGCCTGGGCAGGACCGACTGGAGCCGTCGGGGAGACCCAGCACCTCCCTGCCCCTCTCCGTATTCCCCCTCCCTTGGCAGCGCATCAGTACCTGAGTGCCCGTCACCTCGGCTCCAGCTTCCTGGTCCTCGGCGGCCCGCAGGAACCACCACTGGATCTCGAGGTACACCGAGGCGGAGCCGCTCTGGAAGGCGCAAGACATCTCCACGTTCTGCCCTTCGGTGGCGGTGACATTTCGGGGGAACTCGGTGAATTTTGCTGCAAAACAAATGCACAGCTTACTGGGATCTGCCTCCCTCTCTCTTCTCCTTTCCCTGTTTTCTCCTGGGTTTTGCCCCCTCTCCCTTGCTTTCCTTCTCCCTGCATTTTTTCCCGGCTGCTCCTCTTCTTCTCCCCACCCACTCCTCATATCTCCGTTGTCTCTTTCTGATCCCCTTTCCCCATTTCTTTTCTCCTTAGCCTGCCCTCCCCCAGGAACCCACCCTTTCTCTCTCACACAGGTGCAGATTTTCTTCACTATACTCCCCCATCTTGTACTCGCGTCCCGCTGATGTGAGAGCTACCAGGGAAGGTTCCCTGGGGTGAGCAAAGTTACAGATAATTATATCCAAATATTCACCCAACTCGCTGAGGGATTCAGTACAAACCAATTGGGACAATCAGCCCAGCTGATTTACTGTGGTCAGTAGGTGAGCCTTGAGTGGCTATCGGAAATACAGATTTTAAATATACAGGGTTTTAAGGAGAGGGGTTATGATCACTCCTCAAAGTCCACATTTCAAGCACGTCATGGTCGTTACTTATTCTTTAGCTTGTATTCTTAACCAGGAAAACTGAAACATGGCTATTTCTGACCATCCTCTGTCCTAGCAGACACTTTTCAAAAACTAACCTTCATTTTGATATCCCCTGCAGTATGACTGTGTCCTCTCAGTAGAAGCACCGTTCAGAGAAAATCATACAGATGGGTGTATTTTAAGACCCTATCATCATCATGCCTCCCTGCACTCTCCTAGGCTTGTATGAACCTTCCTTCAAAACAGTGCAACCCAATGGAACCCACACTGGCCAGGAAACTGGGAAACCAAGCAAATGGATGAGGAAATAAATAAATAAGCCCTGTGCTTCAAATCAAAGAAATGCTGGGCATGATCAGAATCGTTGCTCAAAGAATTCACCAGGTAGTTTTCCATTGCCAGCTGTTACAGGTTGATTTGGGCATATTACCAAGCTTAGGAGGAAACATTTGGACTGCATGCCTTTCTATCCAATGCATCTAATATGGTTATGTGAATCCTTGGATCTGAGGGATGATTTGGGAATATAATGGACCCGTTTCACTTTTAAATTCATATTCCTTGAAACAGACTTTCTAAAGGCTGCAATGATTTTATTTATTCTCAAGGCATTTGTAAAACCCTACATGATATTGGGCCAGGGCTTGCCATGAACAGGCAAAGGGATCTTTCATTCTGCCTACTTAAAAATTAAAAGAAGTTTTCCTCCTTGGTCAGTGCTCGACAAAACCCAAGAGGAGTAGTGTTTGCAGAGCTGGTGCAGTGCTCAGCGGGCAGCCGTGTACGACCTGTCCATGGTGCTGAAATGTTCACTGCAGCCCTTAAAGTCCCAAACAACTGGATTCTGCAGAGCCAGGGCTGCTTCGGATGCGAGACGCGCCTGTTCGCGGGGGCTTCAAAGAGGTCCATCTTTTTGAGGAATACACGTAGTCACCGAAGGGAAAGCGGGGCATGAGAAG